CTGGGGATTCGAACCCGCCACCTTAGGTGTATGTGGCTGGCGCCTTAGCCGCTTGAGCCACAGGCGCTGAGCCAGTTTATTTTATTTTGAGACAGAGTCTCACTATGTTACCCTTGGTAGAGTGCTATAGCATCATAGCTTACAGCAACCTCAAACTCCTGGGCTTAAGGAATTCTCTTGTCTCAGCCTCCCGAGTAGCTAAGACTATAGACGCCTACCACAACGCCCAGCTATTTTTAGAGATCGGGTCTCTTGCTCAGGCTGGTCTTGAGCCTGTGAGCTCAGGCAATCTACCTGCCTCAGCCTACCAGAGTGCTAGGCTTACAGACATGAGCAACCATGCCTGGTCAATTTTTTTTTTTAATTAAGTTTTTTTTTTTGTTTTTGACCATCCATCTGCTGAAGATACTAGTTTTACTATAGGTATATAAAAAAAGAACAGGAGGCTGAGGCAGGAGGATCACTTGAGCCCAGGAATTCAAGATTACAGTGATATGTTCGCAGGCCATTGCACTCTAGCCTGGGCAACAGAGTGAGACTCTATTAATAAATAAATGTGTATATCACTTAAGATGAGAACTTTTTCTGACTTGTACTTTTTTCTTCTTAGTGGATATCTTAACTTACGTAGCCTGGAAGTTGAGTGCATTTCCCAAAAACCGTGTGATTGGAAGTGGCTGTAATCTGGACACTGCCCGTTTCCGTTACTTTATTGGACAAAGGCTTGGTATCCACTCCGAGAGCTGTCATGGGCTGGTCCTTGGAGAGCACGGAGACTCAAGTGGTAAGCCTAAAGCTTCATTAAGCCCTGCATGCTCTCTGAAACATATTTCACTATCATGATGAATTATAGATGTACTTACTATGTAAAATAGCTCCTGGATGGGGAGAAAAGCTTTATGCCACTTTAGACCCTTTTAGTAGTGTTTACTTTTTAGCACATTCATTGTCTTCATGATAATATAAAAAATACAAATTTGAAAATGTGATATTGCTATCATAGCGATTATAGATCATAGTGCTTTTTTTACTTAATACAGAACTAAATAACATGATACAGTTTTCTTTGATCTTAGAATACTCTAGACCAGAGGTCATTATAATTCAGCTAACATGAAGTCTTTAGACTAAGGGATGGGCATACCTGGAGAATTAAGGGAAGAAGAAAGGTGCTTGGTGACAGCAACCTTTTTTTCCTTTTGTTTCTTCTCACTAAAAATGTTTGAAATCCATATAATATAAACCCTACCGGCTAGGCGCCTATAGCTCACCCGGC